CAATATAAGGAAAATGAACTGCTCATTCCTCCTGTTTTCTCATGTAAAAGTCTTCATCCCATGAAGGGATTCACGCTTGCGTGTGTCAGTGATCTAGAAATCTTTGGTTCTGAACATTCTTCCTATCAGAATATATATAACTTTCATCTCCTCTTTTGAATTTCCATATTTAACTTAGCCAGGAGTTGAATTCCATTTATCATTAACTCCTGGCTAAGTTAAATATGTACACCATTTCTTATTATTTTTAAAATTTTGCAAAACGTATTCAACTAGAACTGCCAGGGGCTCTAGGGACTGGGGTTGGCACACATGCTTATGGACCCCCTTCTCACTTCTATCTTCTTATCAGTTTGTTCTTTCTATCCCTTCTAAGTTTTGCTAGCGTTATAGTTTGTCATTATGTCTTAACTACAGCAAACTACTGCTGGCATTATCTTAAAATCCCCCAAAACATCAATGCAGCACTTCAACAACAAATTACGATCACAGGAAACCAGAAGGAGGAAGAATAAAAGACAAAAAAGCATGTGATCCCACAGCAAGTTCTTGCTGCAATTTTTTGGGGGTGGGGGAGGGGGCAGTTTTGGGAAAAAGCAATCTCTGATTTGGGCTCTTAAAATTAAAAAAAGTATCTGCACACCTTGGTAGGTGTTGCTTCTCTCATATTACTTTCATTTTGCTTAAAATGCTTGAACTGAATTGGAATGTGTCTGCAGCCATAATGCAAATTCAGTGTTCCTATAAATCAATAAAAAAACAAATGTCCACAAGTACAACGGGAAGAATGAATATGTATGGGAAATACCTGAACACACAGATAAAGTCTGAAATGAAATAAAATGTAACTATGCTAAACACATTTAATTTAATAGCTATGAGTGTAAAAAAAAACCCCAACCATTCTACATTATCCTGTTCAGTGCCTTCATTTATACAAACTGTTATAGCTATTTAAGTTGTGAAACAGCAGTTAAGAAATCTATCTGCTAGAAACAGAATCCTTTGTGCTGTGCCTGAAATATCCACTACGTTGTCCCAGCATCCCAAGTTAGACGTTTTATTAACAAAATTTATTCAATTTCAGATGGCGCTCAATTGCTCATATTCACATATAACTGAAAAACAACACATGGAGCTGTACTGGCATAATGTTGGCAGACATTTAGTATTCCAAAGGTATTATAATCATTCCCCAACATTTTACTATGTCCAATTGCTCTCTCATATTCATCTGACACTCTCATTTCTGTCTACAAAAAAATTAATTAAAAATAAATGGGGAGATTTTTCCTACAGCCAAAACAAGGTAACTACTATGTTGTGTTGTGAAGAGTATCAGATTTTCCTTTCTGTTTCAGGAATTGTTGCATTACACTTCTCTTCCTCTTTTTTTAAATTTGAATTTGGAACAACAGTGAGAGATGGAACAATGCCCTCAGAGGCTTCAACAAAATAAATATCACATTATGTGATAGTAGTATTAAAGTTATTTTATCATATCTAAACTTCATTTTGCAAAATAGCCAATATCACCTGGATACAATTCATTTTGATGATATTGTCCAAAAAGGTAATAGCAAATTAATCACCCAGTCACTATTTTTGCCAAAGAGTTGTGATTTATACTGTCAAAATACAAGCCACACCAACAAATGCATGCTTGTAGAGTCTTGCATCCAATGTTCAGATAGCTCCTGCCAGTATTCAAAGAACTATGTGATGGGACATATTCAGTGTTAGAGTACTGATATGTTGTGATTTACCTGCTTTGTAGATTGTGTATGTTTTAAAAGCTAAACTAATATCAGCATTGTGAAGAATATTCATCAAGGTTTCAGGAGGTTCCTTAGACCACTGCTTACGCACAATGTTTTCATCGTATTTTCTCACATAGCCACCTAATCACAAAAACAACAAACATAAAATTGCTAGAACAGGTACCAATACAAATTCATTATAAGTAAAATTCATTTGGAAAAAAATATCAAAGAGGATCTGTTATTGTTTGTGTCAGAGACAAGATAAAAAGAATTGGGGTTTACGTATTATGTTATTACTTTCCCAGCTTTATATGTGCAAATACAACTGCTCTCCATGAATGTTTATGTCTCAATCAATTTTTTAACTTACTCCACATGTTGCTAGCCATATTCTAACACAAAGGAAAGCATAACAAGAGTTTCAGTACCGTGAAGGATTGTGACCATGGTTTTTTAATTACTGTATTTGGAAAATTTTTATAAAACTGCTCTGTAAACAATTTACCTGCTAGAACAAACAACACTTTTAATTGACCAGCTGCTACTTACAATTATTTTAGTATGTGTAAAATAAAAGGACTATCTGTCAGTAATTGAGCATTTTTCTTGCAAAGTACTTCACAAATGGATCTAGTAAACATAGGCTGAAAGTAGATTAGAGAGACCTGTTCAAATCTCAACTCATCCACAAAGCTCACTGAGTGATTATGGTTCAGTCACTACCTGTTATCACTTAAGACTCCTAGACTCACATAGTTATTGTGAGAATAACCAAGGTAGGGATTATGCATGTCATCTCAAGCTTCTTGAACAAACAGTGGAATAAAAATTAAATAAACCAATACATTTCTGTGTTAAAACAGATCCCATAAAATTGAGAATCAACAAATTTAATTTTTATTGTCTTTAAATAACAAGAATTTGACAAACCTATTTATGTTAGCCTTTGCAGGTTTGGGAAAAATTTGCATAACACTATTTTTGAGATGTCTGCTGTTTGTTAAATAGCCAACCTAAAACCTCATTAAGAGCCAATGAAATAGTGGCAGATCTCAAAAACATTCATCTCACTCTCTACCTTTCAACCCTTTGTATTTGAACAAAGCTACAATTTCTTGAGAAACTAAATGTTTATCCATTGGTTTGCCTCTACCATTTTACCATGTGTATACTGTGGATTACTATAACTGGGCAAAACTCAATCATCACAGGTCAGCATGGGCCCAGCTTTTCCAAGAATGTGAAGAAAAAAACAGTGTAATTCACGTACTATCCATACACTGCAGTCTTACCACCAGCTGCTTTCCTTTCTCTCCACAACTTTCCCAGTTTTACTCTGAAGAAGAACAACCAATAGGAAAGATAGGAAAAAGTCGTATCAAAGCAAGTTGTTATAAGCCAAACTGAAATTTGGAGGAGTTTCTCTCAACTCACAGCTGCCAAATTTCTTAGCATAACTAACATTCCATTTTGAAAAATGGTGTAATTCTGAAATATGGCATAAAAAGCATTGTCAGAGACTACTGTGTGTTACCTTCTCACTGAAGATGTGACCTTCTCACTGAAGTGGTACCTATTTATCTACTTGCACTTTTACATGCTTTTGAACTGCTAGGCTGGCAGAAGCTGGGACTAGTGACAGGAGCTCACTCCATCACGTGGCACTTGGGCCTCGACCTGCCAATATTGCAATTCTCAGTCAGCATTGTCTATAATAATAACTTTCTGTATTAACAAACAAATAATGAAAAATATTTCCAGAAATAATTGGTTCCTAGCAGAGTATTTCCTTACTGGTTTACCTTTGTACCTTCTTTTTACCCTTGCATCTTTTTATTGTTTTGTAGCCAAAAACGTGATACATAAAGAAGGGGTTCAAATTCTCATCCTACTGTTTTGGGAGTCTCAGGTTGCTGCCACACTACAAAATTAATGCAGTTTGATACTACGTTAACTGTCATGGGTTCATGTGGTGTTTAAAAGATAATATAGGTGCAAGGTATACCTCTCTGCTACCACTGGAAAAAATCGTCTCTTTTTTAACTCCCTGCTTCACCTCCTTTGGCAAAAGAACCCAGCAAACTTTGCATTTCTTCTACACTCTAACCTAGACAGAGATTATACACCATTTTAAAATGCAACAGTAATCTCTAAAGGCAAATAACCTGTTATGTGTGTACAGATATACAGACATAAACAAACACATAATAATTTCTTACTTGTTTCTTCCTTGGTTGTAATACTATCAGAAAGTAAAGATGCATTTTCCAGGATGTTCATCACTGTAGTGGATCTTCCTTTTTCCCACTGTCGTCTCTGTGGTTTTTGTAAATCAGCTTCTGGGGAGATGTTATAATGATATGTTTCATGCACGTAGGCCTTCAACAATTTCTTTACTCTGTACTCCATCATGGATCTGTCTTATGCACATGTACAGTTCACCCTCCATATCCACGGATTCTTTAGCCACAGATTCAACCATCCATGGCTTGAAAATATTCAAAAGAAATATTAATTCCAAACAGCAAACCTTGATTTTGCCATTTTATATAAGGGACACCATTTTACTATCCATTGTATTTTATGGGATTTGAGCATCCATGGATTTTGGTATCCACAGGGGTTCCTGAAACCAAACTCCAGTGGATTCCAAGGACTCGTTGTACTCAAAAGTAAATATCTCTTAAGTTTAATAGGGTTTCTCCCAGATGTGTATACAATTGCAGCTTTAAAGAAGCAATTCGTAGATCACATGCACTCATGGAAGCCCCGAAAATGACTTCATCAGAAGTAGCCTCAATGGACAAATCACTTCATAATTCTAAATATATTTTACCTTTTTTATCCACAGCTGTTTTCTCTGATCCCATTTCACAGGAACCCTTGGAAACAGCTACTGCTTCTGGATAGCTATTCTTATTCCTGATGTATTTTCCCTCCTCCTTTAAAATGTTTAGGAACAGTATTAATAATCATTATTGAACAAAAATGTAACGTAACAAAACATATAAAGTCTAGCTACTTTTGTGTTGCTATGCTTTAATCAGTGAGCGAATATTTTTGACAAATTTGTGAATTACAACTTGTGTGCCTTCAAGTTGTTTCCAACTTATGGCAAACCTAAGGCGAACCTATCACAGGAATTTCTTTGCAATATTTGTTCAGCAGGGGTTTGCTTTTGCCTTTTTCAGAGGTTCAGAGGGTGTGACTTGCCCAAAGTTACCCAATGGATTTCCATGGAAGAGTAGGGATTCGAACCCTAGTCTCCAGAGCTGTGCTCCAACACTCAAACCACTACACCACACTGGCTTGTAAGTTACAACTATCCTGTATTTATATTTAAAGCTGCAAAGCACACGAAAGAATCTCAGGGCCTCGGCAGACGGCTAATACAGCCGTCTTGGAGGCAGGGAAGAGGAGGGGCAGCCGCATGCTCGGCGCCCCTTCTTCTCCCCGAGTTTGTCCTCGGAGCTGCCGGCCCTCCGCATGGCTGGCGCTCCGAGGGCAACCTCCCGCCACAGCGTCCGGACACGCTGCGGTGGAAAAGTCAGCAAAAGTGCAGCACAAGCTTTTGCAGCGCACTTTCGCTGACTTGTGAAAGGAGCGCTATTTTAGCGCTCCTTTCAGGGACGGCGAAGGTGCGCTGCAGGATCGAGGCGTGGGGATGCCTCGGTCCTGCGGCGCACCTTCCCAGGGCGGCCCCGTGCCACCAGTCTGCTTAGGCCCTCAGTTTCTGGGACTATATCTGAACCTCTTGGTGTTATTCACATAAAGAATGGAAAACACAATGTGTACATCACAGTAAATATTCAAAAGACTGATCTTATTAATAATCACAAGGCAATAATATTCATTTTATCTGACAGGTATCCCAAAACAATTACACCCTAAAACACTCTTGTCCATGACATTTACTGATCTACTGACATAGGATCACTGTCAATATTCACCACTATAATTCCAAGACTAAAGGATTGCTATTAAAATTATAACCAGGTAGGCATTTTTAAAATATCTTGCATCCATATGGATACTTCTCAGTGTCATATGCATGGGGAGGAAACTGAAAACTTAGGTGAGAACTAGAAAACTTTGAAACATTTATGGAAATATGAATTAAAGACTCAAAGAAGTAAATACAAGTCTGTTTTTTTGGTATTTTTGATTTCTAGTCTATATGTTAATATTTTGGTTCTTTGTGAATGATTTTCATACAGTGAAACCTTGGTATCTGTGGACTTGCCATCCATGGATTTGAGCATCCATAGACGGCAAGCCCTCGTTGTCCCCAATGGCAGTGTGTGTACGCAGCTGTGCCACCATTAGGAACAACTGGACTGACCTCCCTCCCCCTCCGAGGCTTCTTCCCCGGGCTTGGCTTCAGGAGCGGTTTGGAGGTGGAGGCTGGAGCCCCATCAGTCAGAGGGAGCCGGAGCTGGGTCTTGGGTCTCAGAGCCCCCTCTCCAGGCCCAACAGCCAAGACAGAACCTCTAGGCTCTGAGACCCAAGCCCCATCCTCAGGCCCAGCCCCCTCCGGCCTACGGGACTCCAGCCTCTGCCTCTGAACCACCTTTGAAGCCAAGCTTGGGGAAGAAGCCTTGGAGGGATAGAAGGAAGGAAGAGAGAGAAAGAACGGAAGGGAGGGAGGGCTTCAGTTCATTTGTCCCTAGTAGTGGCACAGCCATGTGGCTGCACTGCCATTAGGGTCAATGGGACTTGAGATTCCGTGGATTTTGGTATCCACGGGGTTTGTGTGTCCGGAATGGGTCCCCAGCGGGTACCGAGGGCCAACTGTACTTGTATTTAAATATTTCAGGATTTTCATTTCACAAATAAATATAACTTAAGTGGAATTTGCTATTTATTAGTTTCAAGAATATGATGTACCAATCAAATTTGTTAACTATCATTATGACGTGAAAATCAGAGGTGGCTATATGAAACTTATACTGAAATCTGTTCTGAATTTTTTGTTACAAAGGTTTATATCCAACAGTGTCCCATTCACCAGTAGCAGAACAGATTCCTGTTTCACCTATCTTGGCTGCTCCCCATCACATACCTCAAATCTGCTCCAAAGGACTGGGAAACCCTTGAGAGCATATCTGGAGACGGAGTACAATCAAAGAGGATGGAACCATATATGTTACATTGATTTCTAGTTGTGATTTATTCTAAAAATATTCCATACACTTAATAGAAATTCTACATTTGAACAAATGATACTGGATGGAACCATATATGTTACATTGATTTCTAGTTGTGGTTTATTCTAAAAATATTCCATACACTTAGTAGAAATTCTACATTTGAACAAACATTAGAGTTCTCATTATGCAAATCAATTTAAAACATGCTGGCTTACTACCATTTTTAAGGCATTGAACTTTATGGCCAGAAAGTAAAGAAATTATCAAAAGTAGGCAAATACCTCTTCTGAAGAAAAATTTCTTGCACGCTTTGCCAGATATTTTCTTGCAAGAATTGTGCTAGCGGACGGACGGTTCTTGGGATTCTTCCTGAACATTTGTTTTATCAAATACTGAAGTTCATACGTATAATGTGATGGAAGTGGATTGTAGTATCCTTTACATATCTTAAGTATAAGATTCTTCCAGCTATTGGCCTGAAACTAAATTGAACAAATATAGAAAGAAAGATTACTTACTACAGGTAGTAGAGATATTTTTCATTTTTAAAATGCCTAAAAGATCTAGGCATTGTACAAAAAATAATTAATGCGATCTTTACACCAATGCATGCAAATGAACTAGGAGCATGCATAACACTGGAGGTGGGAAACCTCTCATCAGCAATGTCTGTTGCTCATCCTGCCACCCCACCCCATCCCATCATCTGCTCCCCATTTAACTATTAGAATTCTTAAAAGCTGTTTTAGAGAACATAATTGTGTGCAGTGACATCTCTTGGTGCAAGGGGATTACAGTCGGGGATCAAAAGGTTAGCTCTCCTTGCATATTATATTCCTCTCAATCTTTCTACGTGGCAATTCAGATTTAAATAAAAGTTCCAATGGCACTAACAGAAGGTTTTCTTCTTTTTAAAGCCTAATTGCTGTATGGGGCAATACTGGATGGATCACAGCTGGGAATGGACAAATCTGTCCCATCCCTGTTCACTCCCACTTCCATGACCCACTCCCATGAAAACTGTTTCCAATTGGTTGTTAGGATTTAAAAAAAACTTTTATAGCTGACAGTGGGAGTATCTCCAGATTTCCCAAGAAGAAATGCAACTGTGTGTGCACTGAGGGTCCTTCCTTCCCTCTGTTTGGCATTAACCAAGCAACCTAGAACTCGTCAAAAATACAATACTGTTGTAAGAGCAAATGCATATAGTATTGTTCTTTGGGGCAGCAATACACTGTTCTGAAGAGAACGGTTTGCAATAATGAAGCTTCTTCACACTAATGTCCCTGGATGCACATGCTGCAGCAGCTGTGCCACAGTGTTTTTTACATATTACATAATGACAAATGAGTCATAGCCTCTGGATATGAACATAATATAGAAACTGGCCCTGAATCAGTTCTTTGAAGTAAAAAATGGGGGGGGGGGGAAAGAAGGTACTTACTGGATGTTTAAGAGTGCAGAGCTCATATAAAATGCAACCCAGAGACCATATATCACTGAAAAGACAGGTTTAAAATGTGACTTAGCTTAACACTATAGCATACTGTCCACTTTGCTACAAATAAAATATCTTGTGAGTAGCAAAATAATGACAGTAAAAAAAGAACTTTATATATTATTATACATACATTATATATGCAGTTGGGTAAGTTAAATGGCTTGCATCATACAAATCAGGATGGTCAGATTGTATTCCAGGTTCTGAAAGCATCACTGACAGTATTGTGCAGTTATAGAGTTTTATGTTGGGAATCACAAACAAGGATTGGATTATGATAATTAACAAGCATTAGAAAAATGAAAGTCAGGGAGTTATAGCTGTGCACATAACTCCTAAAGTGCATTTCCTAACATCCACTAAACCAGAGGTGGGAATCATGCATTGCTACAGATATTGTTGGACTCCTAGCAGCCGCAGCCAGAATAGACAATGGTAAGGAATGGTGGAAGTTGCAATTCAACAACATCTGGAAAGTCACACATTTTCTACCCCTGCATTAAAGACCAACTAGCCAAATGGAGAAAGTAGGTGCAGTGCAGTAAAATAACAGGAGTCAGATTCAGAGAACTGTTAACGTAGTACGATGAATGCCATATGAAAGTTAAATTGATAGGTCCTTGAACCCAAAATGCTGCATGGCTAACTTTTGAGATTAGGGGGACAATTGATGTGATCACCAAAGCACCCAATATAAAACTTACAGTGCAAATTTTTTTTAAACCAGGGGTGTTGTATGGTTATTTAAAATGCAGTAGAATCAAGGGAAAAGGATTGAACTCCCACTCAGTCACCAGAAACTGATTTTTAATTATTTGTTGTTTCCATTTTGGTATGGCTATTTTTAGAGAACCAGTGTGGTAGAGTGGTTTAGGTGTTGGACTATGATTCTGGAAGACCAGGGTTCAAATCCCCACTTGGCTGTTGAAACCTACTGGGTGACCTTGTGGAAGACACACTCTCGCAACCTCAGAAGAAGACAAAGGCAAACCCCTTCTGAATAAATCTTGCCAGACAAACCCTGTGACAGATTTGCCATAGGTGATTACTGCACTTAAAATAATGTGACTTAGCCCTGACAGGATACAGTCACATTTCGGGATATAAACTGGTATTAACACATGTAAAATTGCCGCCGCTACTGCCGGGTAACTGTAACTTGGGTTCCAGCCATACTTAGCCGGCTGGTTTTCCAAAATGGGTATCATTCCAAAATGATACCTGTATTTGCCATTTTGGAAAACCAGCCAGCTAAGCACAGCTGGGACCCAGGCTGCAGCCAGGTAATATTTGCCTGGCAGCAGCGGCAACTATTTTACATGTAATAATACCAGCTTATATCCCAAAATGCGACTGTATGCCATCAGGGATAAGTCACATTATTTTAAGCGCAATAATCTCCTTACCATTGACACAAGTCAGAAATGACTCAAAGGCACATAACAACAATGGTTATTTCTAGTTTCAAGACCCTCACCTTGAAAAATTATTTTTAGAAAGTGATTTCAGATGAGAAAGGAAGGTTCAGTCCATATTACACTTATTCCCCCCCCCCCCCATCATTTCATAGGAATGTAGATGCAGAATAAATTCTGCACACAGATCAGGTACTTTAATGTCTATGTTAATCCTCATGGGAATTTCAAAATCAATTTTGA